GCATTATCCAATTTAATATTGTATTTTTTTATATATTATTTTAATCCATCTGTTCCTAAAACCTTAGCAATCTTTACTAATTGATCATAATTATCATTTCCTTAAAAGAAAGGTTCTTTTTTAAAAATCTAACAAAATCTATATATATAAATGTACCATAGATGCAAACATTGCACCAGTACTCCATATATCTAAAGAATAATCATAAAATTAATAATCCACTAATAATTCAGGGCCTTTAAAATATCGTGAGGCTACTCTAACATTATAATCTTGAGAAGGATGATAAAATTCTGCCAATCCCCAATCTATAAGTTTCAAGGTTCTAGTTTTTGGATCAACAATAATATTTTATGGTTTAACATCTCTATGAAATATACCTCTTTAATGAGCATAATCTAAAGCCTATTTTAAGTTTTAGTTTACTTTTAACAATTCAAATAAATAATGCTTAACATCATTATCAGTTAATTTAGGGAACATACTCCTAAAATCTGTATTCTCCATATAAGGAAATACCTATATTAAGTTGATTCTTTACTAAAGTAGGGATTTTTAAATTATCATCTCTGACAACATCATTAAGATCAATAATATTAATGCCTCCTTTTAAAACTTAAAGAATGCGAATTTCTCTGCGTATTTTTCTTTTTTTAACAGGTTTAAGCACTTTAAGAACTACTTTCATTCCATTCCTATTATCGACACCTTCAAAGACTTCGGAATATTTGCCTCTTCCAATTTTACAAATTGCCTCATAAGGCTCTTCTGATCTGAAATATATGTATAAAATTATACCCATATTCAATTTTAGCATTCTCATAATCCCAATAAGATGGTGGTTGAGTCTGATTGAATGTGGCATAATATTTAGGTAAAACAACAACAGCTCCTTATTACTATTTCATTAATTAAATATAAAAATGTAATATAAAATTTACAAATCAAAATCACTTAGAAACTAATTCTTAAATTTTACTTCTTAGTTCATCTACTTATCTGTATGTACATCTATTTTATTTCTAATCAACCATCTAATCAATTTTTAGCATTTTTGAGAATTTCTTATAATCATTCATATTTTAGAGAGTACAATGACAGATAAGTAAATAATTGCATAATTACTGACCCACAAAATAACTAAAATTATACTAGAAATTATATATAAATGTATACTTCTTCTGGTAAGAAAGCATCTAGATCAGAACTAGAATTTGGAAGTTCATTTTTCAATTCTTACAATGCTTACCTTAAATAGGATTGTGTTATGAAATAGAAGCTTTCAAATTCACTTAAATCTTTATCAAATAAAGCTTCAAATTTCTTATCTTGAGGAAGACCTTTATAAAATTACATAAGATATTACTTTTGTTAACTATCATTTAATAAGTCTTTTCAAAGTATCGTTTATAGTTTTCATTATATTCAGCAATAGCTTAACTAAACTTTTAGAATGATTCAGCCTTTCTATATACATCGAAATCTTCTAGTTAGAAGGTGTTATCTTTAGAATTTTCCTTATCAATAATAGTATGAAGTTTAGAAATTTTCATGGCTATGTTCTTTGCCATTAAGAATAATAATTTCTCTTTTAAACCATTGGATAAAGTTAATTACCTTGAATTAATAATTTATTAAGAGAATTTGTATAGAAATCTACAATAATTAATTTAGGCAAATAAAATGTCATTATTTGATTTAAATTTAATTGGTGATTAAACTGGAGTTGTATTTTAAGATGGTTAAGTTTGTACATTAAGAGATCGTCTAATAATTATAAATTAAATATTTTACTCTTAAAGTACAGTATTATTTTTCTTAAAACTTCTTTTTTCAAACTAATTTTCTTGAGTAATTGTTTTTCGTGATTCTGTAATTTGCTTTTAACTTTTAGATCTCATAGGATCAGAAATAGGAGGTTCAATAACAGTAGTAGGTGGATGAGGTAGATGATACATTTCTGAAGGACATCTTTTACTTACTTTACTATCATTTTGAATTTGAGTCTAATATAAAATACTTAAATACTTGACACTTAGGTCTAGATTAAAAATCTCTTATTCCCTAACTTTATGATCTATCCTTATTAATAATAGGTGTTCTAGTTGCAGGTGTTGGAATATTAGATGATTATTGAGTTTATAAGGGAATGGGTTTATAAATGGGTTGAGAGTATTGTGAATAAATTGGATGAGTTGCCATATCTTTGACTCTCATTCTTTGATTTTCATCAATGCAAAGACATCTACGGATGAAATCTTTGGAAGCATCAGATATTTAAGGATGTGAAGGAATGGCAAGATGATGATGCAAAATAGCTGTTAACAATCCTTATTCTGTCTGTGCTGTAAATGGTGTTTGTCCAAATAGCATTTCAAAGAACATAACACCCATAGCCCATACATCTCCTTTTTCTGTATGACCTTATTATCTTAATGCTTATGGAGACATATATAAAGGAGTTCCAACATTATAATGTCTGCCTTATTGTTTGACTTCCATACTGTTTATTTAGACAGCAAAACCAAAATCTGCTATTTTTGGTGTCTGTTTCTCTATTAAAATATTTGCTGGTTTAATGTCTCTATGAATATATCCTTTTTGATTGATCTCAAGTAATCCTGTTATAATTTCATTCATGATTCGCAATACTTCAGGCTCATCAATTCTTCCTCTTTTTTTTATTACACCACTTAGATCTCCAGAATCGCAATACTCTGTTATGATGTATGTATTATTCTGTGTTTAGAAAACATCATACAATTTTAGTATGTTCTTTGAGTTAAATGATTTCAGAGCATTTATTTCATTCTTCAGTAAAGTGGCATGAATGCTCTGTTTAACCATCTTCATATCAATTACCTTGACTTACAAATTTATATCATACTTTAACAGCCACTGTCATTTAATTATTTTCATCTCTTCCTCTATAAACTTTGCTACTAAACCCTCTTCCTATTTCTTCATTTAGAGCATAACTGTAATGATCGATTGCTTTACGAGTTTCAGGATAATAACAGCGATTGATTAACATTCAAATAATAAATTAACGACAACATTCAATTAATTATAATGCATAATATCTAACTTATAATAATCATTCATTTTATGTCTATTTCTATTGATTTTTAAACTAATACCTGAATCAAGATACATATAATATTTATAAAAAATCTTAATATCATATGACATTTAAATATTTTTGTAATCACTATTAATAGTAAATTTAATTTCTAGATTTTTATTTCCTTCTATTTGATTGCTCTAAAATAATTACTTAGTTTAAAGTATTATTTAAATGCATATTCAATACTACAATTTTGCTTAATATCAGAATTAATAAGATATATTATAATTTACATTTAATTTAATCATATAATAGCGTCGATGAATATCTTTTTATTGATTAGAATAAATATCTTTTAAATATGTCAACTCAAGATTTGTAATTGTTAGAAAATTAACTCTTATTGTCTAAAGATGAAGCTATTGGTAAACTTATTAAGGGCACTGACCAATATTATTATTATTATTTTTTAAAGATTTTCAATCAACATGGATATCAATTAACTACAGAATAAAAACATTAGTTAGAAGCATTTAAAGACATGTAAACATAACTAGCACAAAAAACTAATATGAGAGCATTATTTTTAGAATATGATAGATTAAACAATGAGACTCCATCAGAAGAAATTGAGAAATAATAAAGAGCTATTGTTGATAAAATCAATAGATAATATTTTAAATTTTCATTTAATTAAGAGGCCCCTTCAATTGCAAGAGTATGAATTTTTTTTTTATTGTAGGGATAATCTTAATCTGGAGGACTTATTGAGTAAATGACTTACAAATCAAAATTCAATGAAAGTATTTTTGATGTCAACAAATACTTAGAGAATGCATATACAGATGTTGGATTTACAAAAATTAAACAATAACTTTATGGATCATTAGATGTAAATAAAATAGCAACTAGTTCAATAAAAGTAATAAAGACTTATTTGAACAATGTTGGCAATGAAATTGTAGAGTATTGAATATTTTATTATATATATAGTTTTCCAGGTATACCTGAATTTTATGATAAGTTATCTAATTTGAAAGACTTTAAGAATGATTTTTAATAATCTCATTTTAGAAAATTGAGTTTGTCTTAATTAGAAGGATTACTTCAATTGAATAAGAAGTTTTTAGAGAATCAATAGTTTGTTGGAGAATACTATTTGAAAAAATTCTAATATAATTTAAAAGACATTCAATATTCTAAATTAACAGAAGCTGAAAAGAAATAAATCTTATAGAATATAAAAGATGTTTATAATTGGACAAGTACTTTACCACCAAAGTTTAAATCATTCAATGATTAAATACTATATGAATTATTATAAATAGGTAAAATAATTATTAATATATTTTAGGTATTGAAGTAAATGAATATGATTTTGATTTATTTTTGGTTTTCTTAAAAGATCCAAAAGATGATTATGATGCTGCTAATGAAAAATAAAAAATATTCATAAAAAATAATAAAAGAAATTATTAATAATAATGGCATGAATATCATTAATTGAATACAAATAGATGGATTGCTACAGATTAGATTATAGAGAAATATTTATAAAAATATTTTGAAAAGAATGATGATTTAGGGATATTAGAATAATATCTAGATACAAAATATTTAAAAAGAGTTCAAGCTACAGTTAAATTACATTAAGGTTTAGAATTATAAAATATTTATGATTATCTTACAAGTGCTTAAATAGAATAGATGAATTCAGGTAAATTGTTAACTATTTGTTCATTTAATAAAATGTATTTTAAACATGGAGATTCAGTTAAATTATATGTAGAATTAAAGAATATTCCAAAATTAAATATTAAAATATTTGAATTCAATTCTGAAAATTATTATTTATAGAAATAATAATAATTAGATTCATCAATTAATTTAGATGGTTTAATAGCATTTGAAGAAACTGATTTCACTTATACTTATCCTCCAATATAAAAAGTAATTAAAGAATTTGAATTTTAAACTATTACTAATATCTAAAGAGGTATATTTATAGTAGAGTTTATTGGTAATGGTATATCTTCAAGAGCTCTAATAAAGAAAGGTAGACTTTAATTAAGAGAAACAATAACAGCAGCAGGTCATAGATTTTAAATTTTTGATGAAAACTTTGAATTATGTGTAGGTGAGAAAACAGGAGTTTGGATAGATAAGAAATTTTATAAAGTTGATTAATAAAGAAAAGAAATATTGATACCTTTTGGATAAAGAGATTAATAATTTAATGCAGTTATTGTTCATGATAATTTTGCTGAATTTACAACTGTTTTTATATAATAAGAGAAGTATCAATTAAAATGTGCATTTTTGGTTGCTGATGAATCATTGTTAATGGGATGTTAAGCTAAGGCTGTTATAATTCCAAAATTATTTGTTAATGGAACAGAAGTTGGATTAGATTTACTTTAAGAATAAAAGATTTAAGTAACAAGTACTAATGATGCCGGTGTTCCAGCAACATTACCATTTGATAATATTAAATTAGAAAATGATAAACCATTTGAAGTTTAATTCCCAATCACTTCTAAATTAAAAGCTATAGAAATAAAGATTACTGGAAAAATAACAAGAATGCATAAAGATGAAAATAAGAAAGAAGATTAACTTGAATAATCACATTTTATTTATTTTGACAATCTTGAAGGATAATAAGTATTTTGTAATTAGTTATTGAAATATGATAAAATAAATGGATATTAAATTCTTATTGTAGGAAAGAATGGAGAGCCAAAAAGAGGATTATAAGTAACTATTACATTCACTTTGAGTTCCTTAAATCATACTTATAATGAATAATTCACAACAGATGAAAAAGGTAGAATATATTTAGGAAATTTGAAGAATGTAAGTTCTATAGCTTCAAATGTAAAAAGTGTAGGAGATATTAATGTATCATAGAAATCATGGTCTATTAATTAAAAAAGCTAAGTTGCTTATCCAACAAAAATTACAATATTACCAGGATAAAAAGTAAGTTTACCATTTTTTGATAATGAAGATATTAATAATCCATATGTATTATATTAAGTATTTGGATCAACAGAAAGAGCAGTTATTAAAAGTTTGACTAATTAGATATAGAAATAAGAATAATTCATTTCATTTACATTAGAAGATAAAGGAATTTATGAATTATAATTTGTAAAAGATAGATTTACAATTTATATTAATGTTATAGATGGAGAATTATGGAAGGGCACTAATATTATAAAATCTTAGAATTAATTAATAATAGATAAAGGTTTAGATTAATTAATAGCAATATCAAAAGTTGATTAATAAAAAGAAGAGAATGGAACAAAAATAACTGGTAATATTGTTTCAAAATAAAAAGTTTAAGTTTATGCTTATGCAACATCATTTTTAAATGAATAATTTGAATAATAAGTAAATTAAATATAATAATTAATTAATAAAGATAGATCTGAATAATTATCAATTGATTTATATAGTAGTGTATTTTAATCAAATAAAGAATTATCAGATGAATAAAAATATGTTTTAAATAGAAAAACATAAGAAAGATATATTGGTAATACACTTGAAAAACCATAATTCTTATTAAAAAGATAATAAATTAGAGAAACTACAACTCAAGGGGAATCATTAAATTAAGAGGGATCATATAAGGATAAAATTGAATAATAAAATTAATAACCACGATCTTACAGTAAATAAGCAGGTTATGGATCAGCAGGTTAAAGACATTAATAAGTAACAACTTTCCATGATTTCTTGAAATATCCAGCTATCTTGTATTCTAATATTGTTCTAGATGAAAATAATAATTTCTAATTTGATGTACCAGCACATTATTCAACAGTGACATTACTTGTATTTAATGAATCATCTTATTAATTTTAATTATTACCATTAGAAAATGAATAAGTAGAAACTAGAAATCTAGCTCATTAATCTACATTGTAGAAAGATAAATTTTATTCAATTTATAGAAATTCATCTAATGTTTAAAAGAATGTTCCTATTTAAGTCTAAGATTTAACATCTACAGAAATCAAGTTAGTTGATTCATTAGATAAAATGTTTATTGTCTTAAAAGAATTGAAAAAAGCTAATGGAGATGATAGTGGATCTAGAGACTTTTAAAAATGGGAATTCTTGATAAAATGGTATTAACACACTACTGAACAAAAACATAAACTTTATGATGAAAATTAATGTGATGAATTGAATCTCTTTATTTATTTTAAAGATTCAGCATTCTTTGAAACATATACTGAAAATTATATTAGAAATAAAATAGAAAAAAGTTTTATTGATTATTTCTTATTAAAAGATGATGAAGTATTAAAATAATATGGATCTATGTAAAAGATTGTAGAGTTGAATGCATTAGAATAAGCATTATTGGTTATTTATTTTGCAGAAATATCAAATCAATTAGAAGATGCTAAATAAATAGCATCCTATTTAGAAAATCTAAATAAATAGAATGTAATTGATTAAAGAATCTTTAAGAAATACTTTGATACTGTTTTAGGTGCTAAAATTGAAGCTGAAGATGAAAACTTTGAAGTTGGTTAACCTGAGATGATGTGTATTTAACAACCAGTTTTCGTATAAGCATAATAATAACCATTTCATTAGAATTTAATGTGCATGAATTAAATGCCTGCACCAAGAATGATGATGCAATAGGCAATGCCAATTTAATAAGAAAGAATGAGAATGCCAATTGTTTAATAAAGTTGTGCTATGAATTTAGTCAGAAATAGCAATCATTCATAAAATGAGGAAGTTGAATTATGTTGTGATATGATGGATTATTCTTACCAACGTAATACTGCTTAAAATAAAAATGATAGTTATTATAGAGAAAAACGTTCTTAATTCATTGAAAACTTCAAAAATATTGAAAAAACTAAAGAATATTGTGAAAAACATTATAGTACTGGATGTTAGAAGGACAATTTTAAGAATTTAGTTAGTTTAAATGGATTTTTTGTTGACTTAGTAAATCATTCAATTACTAAAGGAATTTTAAAAGAAGATTTCCTTTCATCAAAATTCATATATTGTATCAACAACTAAACTGAAATGATTGCTGTTTTAGCACTTATTGGTTTACCTAATGAAGCCCCAATTTAAGAGTATAAATAATTTGGAGGAAAGGGAGTTGAGATTACAACAAAATCTTCAGCATTATTCTTTATGAAAGAAATAAAAGAAGGAAAAGCATAATTAAGATAAGATATTTTAATTGCTTAAAGATTCTTTGATCCAAATGATAGATTTATAATATCTGAAGATGATCCAGAATTATAATTAGAGAAAGATGTATCTGAATGTTTAATAGATAAAATTTATGGTTGCTAAGTAATCATTACAAATTGTTCTTCAACAAGAGCTGATTATTAAGTTTTAGCGGAACTACCTAATGGTGCTATTCCTGTTAATACAGTATTTTATACAAAATCATATACAATAAATTGTTAACCTTATACAACCTAAAGAATTGAATATTTCTTTTATTTCCCTAAGATTGGTACATTCTCTGTCTATCCAGCTAATGTATCTAGATTTGGTTAAGTTGTTTGTGTTGCTTAAGAAGGTTAATTGAAAGTAGTTGAATCAAAATCTATTTAAAATTTAGAGGCTATTGATGATATATTAGCTAAAGGTAGCAAAGATGATATTTTAAATTTCTTATAAACTAAAAATATATTTAATAGAAATATATTCAGGGCAGAAGAGATTAGATATTTATTAAAAGATAAAGATTTTTATTTGAAAGTTATTGCTATTTATCGTAAGAGAAGATTTAATGATTTTGAAAGTTTGAAATATTCAATTTATCATGCTGATAAAGAAAGTATGAAAGAATTATTCCTTCATAACAATTGTTAAGAATTATTTAAGAGAACCTTTAAATATTTCAAATGTTCTCTTTTTGAAGTTAGTAATATTAGAATGCTAGAATATTATCCACTTATTACTAAGAGAGTTCATAAACTTACATCTGAAGCTAAAGGAATTCTAAATGTTGAATTTAGAACTTAATATATTGATTTCTTGACTTACTTGGTTGAAAAACCTAAACATACTTTAAGTGATAAATTAGGATTTATTTATTATCTATTATTACAAGAAAGAATTAATGAAGCTATTTAAATTTACAAAACAATAGCTGATGTTGATGCTTAAGGTGAAGCTGTATTGTAATATGATTATTTTTCAGCTTATCTTGATTTCTATATTGGATATCCTAATTTTGCTAGAGCTAGAGAAATATGTGAGAAATATCTCAATTATCCAGTTATTCATTGGAGAAATATATTCTATGAAGTAGTTAATTTATTAGCAGAATATGATGGTGATGATGATGAGAATCAAAAATTAAAAACAGAATCTACAGTTAAATAGAAATAAATAGAATAAGCTAAAAAAGAAGAAACTTTATAATCTACTATTGAAGGTAATGAAATTTAAATAACATATTCCAATTTAAATAAAGTTGTCATATAATTCTACAAAATAGATTTGGAAATTTTATTCTCTAGAAATCCATTCTTAAATTAAAATGAAGAAGATTTTGCATTTGTCTTACCTAATTCTATTGTAGAAACAACATTAGAAGTATAATAATAACCTGGATTGTAATATAATTATTTTTATTTTATAGAACATACAAAAAGTCAGTTGCTATTCCTGAAGAATTAAGAAAATACAATCTTTTTATTTAAATTAAAGGTATTAGTAAGAGAACATCAAATCGTTATTATTCAACTTCTTTGGGTGTTTAAATAATGGAAAATTATGGTTAAATAAGGGTTTCTGATTCTGAAGGAAAATATTTATCAAAAGTTTATGTGAAAGCTTATATTAAAGAGAAAAATGGAAAGGAATCATTTTATAAAGATGGTTATACTGATTTAAGAGGAAGATTTGATTATGCTTCATTAAGTTCAGCTAATTTAGATGATGCTTCTAAATTCTCATTATTAATTACTAGTGATGAATATGGTACTTTAATATAATTATAAATTAAGGTTCTATAATAAAGGAAATTAATGCTCCATCTTAAGTTGGTAAATTTGAAACTGAAGTTAAATTGGTATCTAATAAATGGAATGAAAGAGCAGTTTGTGAATAGGTCAAATAATCTAATTTATACGAATGCAAGAAATTAAGCAAATGTAAATGATCTATTATTTTATTCATATAATAACATAAATTTGATTTATATAATTAATGTTTGAGATAATAACTTTAAATGATGTTATTGATGTTAGTGCTAGATATATACATAATTATTAGGAAGAATTAATTAAAAAGATTAGAGATAAATTTGAATATAAACCTTTAAAGAATTATGGATTTTGTATAAAGATTCTTGGTGTTAAAACATCTGATGGTCATATATAAGATGGAGATATTTTATATTCTGTCATTATTGAGATTCTTAGTTTTCAAGTGTTCTAATCTGAATTAATATATGGCAGAATATATAAATCATCAAAAGAAGGATTAACAATTAAATTTATAGAAAACAATGATAATAATAAATAATATTTAGTTGGATTTGTTCCTAAACATTTGTTATTAGATGCAAAATTCGATGAAGAATAATAATTATGGATATGTAGTTATTAAAATACATACTTTTTATATTCAATAGGGGAGGAAGTGAGATTTAAAGTAAATTCAATAAATTTTGATACAGCTGATCAAATAGATTAAATTATTTAAGGAAGAATGAATGAAAGTGGATTAGGTGGATTAACTTGGTGGGTTTGAGTTCTAAATCTATTTATTATTAAGTATTTGATTAAATAATAATAAATTATCACAAATATCTTGAGTTATCTTAACGATTTTATATATCTGCTTTAGTTGCAAAATATGCTTATACTTTCTTTTTAGCAACTGGGATATCTACTCCTTTGTTATAAGTAAAATTATATTCTCCTGGAAAATGAATATTAATCAATCTCCTTGTATCTTCACTTACCATAACTTTACCTGCTTCTCCTTAAGATTCCATTTTATTAGCTATAACAGCATCAACACCAAAAATATCATATCTTACAATATCAGTACCTATAATTCCACCATAAAATTAACCCTAAAATATTTTATATTTATTTACTGTATGTATTCCTATTCTCATATTCAAATTTAAAAAATTGATTTCCCTTCTTACTCTTTTAATGATTTCAACCATTTCCAAACCCATTTCTAATACATTTTTTGCTTCTTAACCAGGATGTCTTTATTCCATATCATTTATACCCAATACAACATAACAATCACCAATAGTATATACTTTGTACACATTTTATTATAGACATTCCTTATCGAATGATGTCATTAATTATCTTAACATTTTCACTACTTATTCTGCTGGAACACTTGCAGAATATGCTGTAAATCCACTTATATCTGCAAATAAGAGAGTAGCATCTATTAATACATCTGATAATTCTAATTTGATTTTACTATTTTGATAAAATCTAGTTAGAATATGAGATGGTAATAAATTAGTTAATAATGAATCTCTTTATTCTTTTTTTAAATTTTCATTAGCTGCACTATTAAAATTCTTAATAGTCAATTCAAAATTATTATGAGATACTATAACTAAAATAATAGTTGATAGAACAATAAATACTAATAAATTATTATGTTCATGTAATAATAATTATACAAACCATGCTGCTTATTATAATAAAATATAAAAGAACATATATTTAAATTTTAATGATTATTAATTGACTGCTGAAAATGCAAAAAAATATGCTTCTGCATTATCTGAAATTAAAAATCTTTATTGATTATCAAAAGTTACAAAAAACATTGTTAAAAATGCACTTACATAATATAAACCTGTTAATCCTAAATCTAAATTATGCATATTGTATTTTTTTAATCTACTTGTTATAAAGTATAAAATTATTAAATATAAACTTAAAAACATTCTTACAATATATATAGTTAATCCATCATAACCAGAATCAAGCAATTATATTTATGCTTTAAATAAAGTATATACAATAGTCATAGGATAAAATATATCCTTTAATGCAGATCTGACTTCCTAATAATATTATTCAAATTGCATAACAATATTAGGATCATTACATTTCTCATATTCTAATGTTAACTTATTATATTTTAATATATCTAAATCTAAAATCTTCTTTATTTTTTCACTTTTTATATCATTTTCTGGTACATCCATATCATTATCAGAAACACCAACTATTCTATTCTCAGGATCCTTTTCAACTTATTTCATTTAAATTTCATCTTCTTTTGTTTCTTCCCAATCATTAGTATTATAATCTGTTTTTTGAATAACCTAAGTTTTTGCTCTATCTCTCCAAACTGTTTCACTCATAGAAGTAAAATCTTCCTTAATAGTTCCCTTTTTATTACCTCTAGATTATTCAACCCCTTTATTTTTTTTAGCTAATTTTACTAATTATGATCCCATCTTAGGATGATTCATTATTTTAGATCTACGACCATACTCTTTAGTAGTAGGATGTTCATTCTGATTTAAAGATAAAGGTGGTTATATATCTTTAAAAGTTTATCTTAATTAAGTAGATCTAATATTAGAATTATTAGTTTTATGAGTTTTAAAACTTAATGGTCTTCCATTTTTTTAACCTTCATAAAATCTAACTTATGATAAATGTTTTTTTAAATATAATTTTCTTTAAGTGACTTAATGAACAATTAAATGTCCTTTACCTTTAGCTTCAACTTCTCTAGATGTAAATAAGAATTCTGTATCCTTTACTCTTTCATAAGCTTCTGAAGATATAGTAATTCTTCCTACTTCTCCAGTAGAACACATTCTTGATGCTGTATTAACAGTATCACCAATTAAAGAGAATTATGGTTTATGATATCCAATAACTCCTGCAAATACTTAACCATAATGAATTCCTATCTTTATTTTTAATTTATATAATTTAACAGTTTCTTATTCTTTGTATTCATATCTAAATTCAGACACTGCCTTTAAAAAATCTAATGATAATTCTAATGCTAAAGCAGTTTCATTTTTCTTCTATTAATTCAATCCATCCTTATTATTTTCTATTTCAGTAGATTTTAAACCAGAACAAGCCATATAAGTTTTACCAACTGTTTCTATCTTTTATACACCATACTATAAACATATTTTATCAAAGACTCTAAATATATCATCTAAGAATGAAACCACTTATCTTTATTTAGATTATAATATTTTATCAAATTCACATATTTCTAGAAATATAATTGAAACTGATCCTTGATTTTCTTCAATTTAAGTTTCATCTGCTTATTCAATTTTTTCATATATAAATGCTGGCAATAGAGATTTTAATATTTAATTAGTTTATTCTTATTATGTTTATAAAGCTTAATCAAATAAAAATACTAATCTCTGGAATCGTTAAAACTAATATTTAAATAAACAAATATACATTATAGTGAGTGTAATTAGATAGTAAATTTAAGAAAAATAAAAGAACATATAATGTTATAAATTCTACTCTAAAAGTAGGAGTTGCCGAACCAGAATTAACTTAAATAGTATAAAATTAACCAACTCTAATAGTATAATTGACAAAAAAGATCAAGGTCAATGTAATTGGATAATAAAGTGGAGGAGGGAATATATCCCATGCTAAAAACTATTAATAAAGCAATTATCCAAATGTACTAAAATAATATTAACTCTTATCTTCTGGAAGAGTTACACTCAAAAAATGATCTAATATTAAAACTACAGGAATAAAAAAGTAAGCTTCAATAGTACCACATTTTATTTAAAATGCAGTTTAATCAATTTATTTCTTCTCTATTACTTTTGTTATTAATAATATTAATATCCACATCATCATTATTATTGCCCATAGAATATTTAATACAGTATCTTCATGAGTAAGAAATGGAGCCCATGCTATTACACTACTTACTCTTAATACTATGAACAATACTAAAACTACTTCTCTTCTTTATTAGTAATATAATTAAACTTTAAATTATCTAAACTATTTTTCATAATTATGATTCTTAAAAACTAATGAAAATTTTGAATATTCTCCATTAAAAGATTATGTTTTCTCACTCTCAAATAAAGAACGAATAAAAGGGTCAATAGAAACATTCTCAAATACTTTTTTTATTTTTCTAAAAAATTATCTATTTATTTTGATATGATTAGTTGTTGGAAATTATTTTAATGATTCTGAAACAATCTTTCCATTATAATTCTTTAATGCTGTTTCTACAAATTTAACAAAATTCAATATTATTCTTGGAGTAAACATCATCTCTCTTGTCTATTTTACTATTTAATCTATTGTAATTATTATTATAATTCCTGTTATTATACCAATTATAAATTACCATTTAAATATATTTCTTATTATTTATACTCTTAAATCTGCTTATACAACTATTGCAAATGAAATAGATAATAAACCTAAAGTTATAATTAAATTCCATAGTATTTTTCCAAATGGAACATTAAGATGAATCATTTAAGAAGTTCCAAAAGCAAATACACTAAATAATTAAAATAAAAACATCAAATGAGCTAAATTATTAGGATCTGAAGTAAAAAACATCATAAATTCAGCAAATATATAAGTATTTAAAAGTCCAGTGATACCTGCTGAAATCAAAACTTCATAAAATAATTCTTATAACCATCTAAAATTTGATTTGAAACATTTATAAGTTTAAGGTTAATTCTATGGAAGCATCAATTCAATTTATTCATGACTGGATCTATCTTCAAATGCAGGTAAAAGTCCATTAATTATAATATGAATCTATACAGCCAATAAATATACAACATCTTCTTCAATATATAGTGTTTTTCTTACACAAACAAAAAGAGTCAAAATTATCAATTAATATAGACTTATTTTTGTACACATAACTGTTAATTGACTCAAATGCATTGGTAATATTTTAGCAAAATATAATACTAATTATTTTATATGTTACAAATCATTAACTTAAATATTTTGATATGCTATTTTTAAAGATCTTTTCTCTTTTGAAAATTAAATAGTAGCATTTGCATGAGAATTCATATTGAAATCATCAACTGAATCTGATATTGTTAAAAGTGTACTACTTGGTTCAAATATTTTAGTAACAGCTTATGTTATTAATTCTTTATCTGCTGAAGAACAATCATATGCTATGACAGTTTTCAAAATTAAAGCTATAAATAAAAAATGACTTTTAGTATAATCATCACTAAATATAGTTTTAATGGATTTTCCATTTACTAATAAGAATACTTTTTATAAAGGTTCTTCTCCTTTCTTTGATTTCATAATCATATTTTCATCAAAAGTAGCTTTTTTCTAAAGTCCACTTCTTTTCATTTCTGAAACTGATTTTTAAGAAACTAATGTTTTAGATGATTCATTTTATTGACTTTCATCTTCCTTCAATAATTATTTTCTTATAAATAGCAATTAAGATTTAATTTATAATTTTAATTTCTCCTCATCTACTTCATCAATCCTTAAAAGAGTATTATTATTATTAACAATTCCAACATGATTAGCTGCAGATAAAGTTTACATTTTTTTATCTCCACTCAATATCCATTAAGAAATTCCTAAATTTTTAAAAGTTTTAACTTAAGCATAAGCTCCAGGATTTTAATCTTCCTTTAAACAAATCAAACCATAATAATCTAAATCTTTAATCAATTCTTTATCATGATGAGTCATTTCCATAGTATCAAAACTTGTTTCTTAATATTTATTTTTATTCTTTACTGCATCTTCTGGTATATCTTTACCAGCATATACAATAAATCTATAACCTGATTAAGCTTGATGAGTCATTTACTTTTCTAAATTTACTCTCTTTTTTTATGATAATTTACATTTATCAAGCAAAGCTAAATTCTCACTTTTTACATATAATTTTAGTAAAGCTCCTTTTTTTGATCCTCTTTCAGTACCTTACCTTTCATTTTGAGATGCTTGATTTCTAATCCTTTATTAGATAGGTTTCATAAAAATAGCAAAAGTTTCATTGTCACTAATTTTCTTAGAAACTAAATATCTTTCACTTAGTCCTTTAGCACTAATTTCATAACAAATTTTTTTATTTAATAATCCTGCACAATTGAATTCAAATTAATATTATTTAGCAAATTTTATTATAGATTCTTAATATTCCTCAGTATTTTCATTTAAAAAATTTTATGGATTCATATTTGGATGTTCATTCATTAATCCAGACATACCTATAGCTGTGATATTTTTATCTCTATTTGGTTTATTTTAAGGTTTAGAGTATTTAGTCTTGACATCTTAACATAATATTAAAGATCTCATAAATTTATCTGCCTATTTTTAACCAGATTTTATAATCTCTTATAAATCTTTTCTTTCCTCCTATTCTTCATTTTCATCACTATCACTTTCTGAATGCTATTATAATTACAATTCATCTTCATTTATTTATGATTCTCCAAGTTTATTATCTTTTCTAAAATCCTTTGAAGATGCAATTGGAGATGGAGATAATATGGATCCATTACCTGGATCTTAAGTTTATTCAAGTATTCTTTCAACAATCCTTATTTCTCTCCTTGGCTTAGTCAATAATCTACTAGTATTGTTTGATGTTCTTCTATTATTTCTATTTAAAACTACTTTTTCAGGGGGAGATAATTCTTCATCAACACTTTAAGCCTTTTTAGGTTTAATGAATTCATTCTATCTTATAAAATGAGGATTAAAATTAAAGACCATATTTCTACTTTCTGGTTCTTCTTCATTGAAAATTGCATCATCTTAATTAAAGCTAATTCCTTCATCATGTTAAGATTAAAGTCTACTTTTAACAGACTAATGACTTCCTGGATTTTATATGAATCTTTCACTTTTTTATAATGAACCTATTCCAATATTATTTTCTTCTTAATCCTCTTATTCTTCTAAGATTTCTTACATATTATTATGTGCATGTTGAGTAGTCATTAATTTTCTATATCTTTTTGTAGAAGTCCTAATTCCATCTTCATTAATTAAATTATAGAAATAAACTCCACATATAACTCCACAAAGAACAGTATTAGTGTTTGTAAGTGTACCTGTTTTATCATAAATGCAATGATCAACTTTAGTTAAAGTTAATAATTCAGATGAATGAGATACAATTATATTTTTGTTCTTTTCAAAAATATTATTAAAGAATTGAAAAGTTACTTCACATAATCCAGTAATAAAACAAGGATGAACAAAGGTTATACTCTAAAATATTCTACAAATTGTATTGTAAATATTGAGATCATCAGGTTAGTTTTGAAATCTTACTATAATTGTTATACAAAATGAAAGTTATATAAAGTATAAAAGAGAAAATATTAATGAAAATTTCATTAAATATCTATCAAAATGAGTAGTAGACTTTTTAAAACAATTCTGCCACATTTTAATTACATCCTCATCATCATGACTAATCACTATACCAACAACCCAATCTGTATTAATTATAATACTACTTTAATTGACTATATTCCTATAATCTAAATATTCACCTTTTGGATCCTTTTATAATTTAATAAAACCTCTAAACATATTATCATTAGTATCCAAATAATCGAATTCTATTTTACCAGTCAATATTCTCTTATAATAAATAAGTGTTTAGTTTTTTTGTTAATCAGATGTAGATGTTAATTTGATTGATTACTTTTAAGTCATATGAGTCATTCCTTCTTTTTCTGATGTTTAAACCATAAACTTCTCTTCTTAAGAGTTTAAAATTAAAATACTCATAGGACTTGGTTAATGTCTTTTGAGAAATACTAAATTACCAACTGTCACATCACGTTTTGGACATTTACTAATATGGCATTTAGGATCCCAACCAATAACATATACAGTTTAATCATAATATTCATTAACTTATTTTAATGCTTTACAAATTTACTGATAAAGTTTGTAAGAAGACATAAATAAATTACCAGCTAATTATATTATGCAAATTAATAATTATTGTTTAGCTTTGAAACTAGCAGACAATATTATTACTACAAAGAGCCATAAATTAAAACCTTATTTCAACCAATCTAGAAAATGAAGTATACATGTTTTAAGAATCTAAATAGATCTAATTTTCATACTAATCCTCTAAGTAATTGTTTTGGATCTCGCTTGAATGATTAATTCTAAGGATAACCATTTTTGAAATAAAGTTTATGTTAATAATCCTTCTAGTTAACCTATTCTTAGTATGATCTCTACATAATTATTTAATTAATTAATTATGTAACCATAACAGAGAATGGGTACAGCAGCCATGCGAGTACCAACTCGAATGACTACAGCTATGAGAGTATATTTAATTCTCTATTTTATTAGAATGATCCTAATTTCTAATCAGTAGCAAATACAACCAATTTAAAATTTGTGGATAGACCTGTTACATAACATGGAATTATTGGAGTCAAACCTACTACAGCTGGACCTGGTAGATAAATATAAGATAAATCATATTATCTAAATTAATTGAGAGAAAAGCAAAAGGAAATATTTAATGAGATTGAAAGATTCAAAAAATAATAAGATGAAATTTAAAAAGCCAATACACTTTATGTTTAATTTGAAAGAAGGTATAATTTATATTAATAATATAGACATGAAGAATTAACAAAAGAAGTAAGAGATTTAGAAGGTTAATTGGCTGATTATAATCTTGCATTTGATAAATGGAGAGCCAATACAAGACCAGAAGATATCAAAAATATTTTTGAAAGAATTAAAGTATAATTATTTATTTTATTATCTTTTTAGATTTAAAATGAAAGATAAAGATCTTAATTAGATGATATTTTTATTGAAAGAAGAGGTTAAGAAGATTAAATTAATTAAATTGAAAATAGATTAAATGAATTATAATCATTGGCTGATATGAAATTACAAGAATTAGATCCAGAATAAAGAAATGAATATATGAATTTGATTAATGAAAATAAATCACTTTAATAAGAAATTAATAATTAAAAAGCAGAATTAGAAGAATTAAATGCAAGAATGTAGAATGCAGATAATAGATTGAGAATGGATGCTTAAAAATTAAAAGGTTAGATGCTAAAAGAATAAATAAATGAAATGGATTCAAAAAAAAATGATTTAGAAGTTTAATTGAATGAAGCTAATCTAACATTCCCAGAAGCCAGAGATAGATTATTAAATAAAATTAAAGATGATAATGCTTTTATTTAGAATTCAGAGAAAAGAGTTAGAGAAATTAGAAGAAATATAGAAAATTATGAAAAAAGATTAAGAGAATTACAAACTGAATTAGAAGATAAAAAATCATAAGATTAAGATAAATAAAAATATGAAATATTATATTAAAGAGATTAAGAAATGACTGATTACATTAATAATTTTGATAAAACAAGATAATAAGAATTAGAAAAAGTAAATGCTGTAGAATAAGCNCTAATCAGTAGCAAATACAACCAATTTAAAATTTGTGGATAGACCTGTTACATAACATGGAATTATTGGAGTCAAACCTACTACAGCTGGACCTGGTAGATAAATATAAGATAAATCATATTATCTAAATTAATTGAGAGAAAAGCAAAAGGAAATATTTAATGAGATTGAAAGATTCAAAAAATAATAAGATGAAATTTAAAAAGCCAATACACTTTATGTTTAATTTGAAAGAAGGTATAATTTATATTAATAATATAGACATGAAGAATTAACAAAAGAAGTAAGAGATTTAGAAGGTTAATTGGCTGATTATAATCTTGCATTTGATAAATGGAGAGCCAATACAAGACCAGAAGATATCAAAAATATTTTTGAAAGAATTAAAGTATAATTATTTATTTTATTATCTTTTTAGATTTAAAATGAAAGATAAAGATCTTAATTAGATGATATTTTTATTGAAAGAAGAGGTTAAGAAGATTAAATTAATTAAATTGAAAATAGATTAAATGAATTATAATCATTGGCTGATATGAAATTACAAGAATTAGATCCAGAATAAAGAAATGAATATATGAATTTGATTAATGAAAATAAATCACTTTAATAAGAAATTAATAATTAAAAAGCAGAATTAGAAGAATTAAATGCAAGAATGTAGAATGCAGATAATAGATTGAGAATGGATGCTTAAAAATTAAAAGGTTAGATGCTAAAAGAATAAATAAATGAAATGGATTCAAAAAAAAATGATTTAGAAGTTTAATTGAATGAAGCTAATCTAACATTCCCAGAAGCCAGAGATAGATTATTAAATAAAATTAAAGATGATAATGCTTTTATTTAGAATTCAGAGAAAAGAGTTAGAGAAATTAGAAGAAATATAGAAAATTATGAAAAAAGATTAAGAGAATTACAAACTGAATTAGAAGATAAAAAATCATAAGATTAAGATAAATAAAAATATGAAATATTATATTAAAGAGATTAAGAAATGACTGATTACATTAATAATTTTGATAAAACAAGATAATAAGAATTAGAAAAAGTAAATGCTGTAGAATAAGCTATTGTTGAATTATTAGGATAATCTTCAAAAATTGTATAAGATATTAAAACTATACCCTCTTTAACAGATTATGCTGGTTTAACAGCTGAAGTTGATTATAAAGATAATTAAGTCAAAGACTCTGAAATGACACTCAAGAAATTATAAGGAGTCTATGAATAAACAGTCTAAGATTTAAAAAAGATTGAAAGAGCTGAAGAATAATTACCAATTGAATTACAATAATATAAATCTAAATGTAAATAAATGTAAGATGAAATTGATTCTAAATTTAACAAAATTGATGAATATAAGGTTAAAGCTCAAGATAAAAAGCTTAAATTAGAAAATCAAAAAAAGGAATTACTTAGACTTAAAGATGATTTTACTGCATAAGTAAATATAGAAATCATATTTCTAGAGTCAAAATATGAAACATGAATTTGATGTCAAAGAAAAAAAATACACTATGCATGAATAATACAATACTTTAGCTGATTTAGAAAAGAAAGTGTCTTAATTAGAATCATAAGCTAATACTTTCTAGATGTTTATTGAAACCAAATCCAAAGATATGAATTTTGAATAGTTAAAGAAAGAATGTATGGATATAATGGATAAAATTAATAAGGTTTTATGTAAGACTTGAAATCAATATGGATAAATATATATTCAAATTAATATAAACATGTAATCAATCTATATTTCTTAACTTCTTAACAAGTTTTTTTCTAGATTTATGTATATTTTATTTATAAGGAAAGAAAGTTTCTGATGATATACTTTTAATTACAGATCTAGGGGATTTTACTTAAGTAAAACATTATTCTTATGGTTTCTATCCACTATACTGACAAAGGTAAGGAGAATTTATCATAGATGAGTTATAATTAAGTAAATTATACTCTTTTTTAGGAGATTTTAATTCATCCCCTAGAGTTTTTAGTATCCTCATTGGTTAAATTATTTAACTTGAAAGGGAATTATGGTATTTGCTGTATGCAATAGTTGGTAATGTGCCAGAGGATTCTATTTTATTGTTATTTAATTTTTATTATAAGTAGAGTCTTACTGATTATCTCTATTTATGTTTCTGATCTATCATTTAAGCTTAAATCGATTAAACTTATTAATTCAAATTTACTTTGTCATCATAAGGAATCTAAGAATTACTATACATAATTTGATTAGGATAATGATGTGATTGTCCAGGAAAAAAAGATTAATTTTCAAAAACTTTAGTTTTAAATCTAAATAATCTTTTTGCTCTTTCTTATTTATTATTTTTTTTCCATTTCTCCAAAATATATATAATACAGAGAACTGCATTTTTGAATCTCTTTTATAATCGTTGTTTTCTTAATACTGACATTTTGGTTGTGAAGATTATAAACTTTTTTTATAAATGTTTAGTTTTCTTACTAACTGCTCCACATTCTAAACAGCAGCAACTTTTATTATCTTGAAAGGAGTCATTCATCAGAGATTCAGAACTACAAATACAGTGAAATTTTTATTTACTTTGATGATGTGGCTAAATCTAAATTCTTAAAAGAAAAGGGTTTCACATATTAAGCAACGGGATTTAGAGTTTTTGAATATGTTTTTTCTTTAAATTTGAAATTAAGCTCTCTATTGTTATTAGCAATGAAGGAAATTTTTAACTTTTAAAGACTCTACTTTTTATGAGTTGAATTCATTCCTTTTTTGATTATTAGTATTTATTTAATTATGGATAATAATATAAAATGAGTAACTTTAGAAATCCTAAATCTATTTTAATAGCTTAGTAAAGATAGCAAAAAAACTTAATGTAAAAAAAATTAGACTTTATTAACCTAATATTCAATAATTTATTATGATTATAATAAATTTGTTTATAATATGATACCTCAATAATATAAATAAGAAGAGATTATAAATTTTAATCTAAGAAAAAGAAAAGCTAGTTGATAAATAGAGAGAATTAGCTAAATAAATTTATGTTTTATTTTAATAATTATGGCCTAATAATTAATTTTTTATAATGATCAATTATTCATTCTAAATAATAGAATTCCATATAACTTATATAAGAATTTATATTATTTTTGTTCTATTTTTTCTTGAAAATAAGAAACTAATTTGACTTTATATTATTATCTAAAAGGATTTAAGACAAGTTATTTCAATAAGTTAATACAGAATTAAGTCATTTTTTTAAAATAAATTCCTAATAATTAATAATTGGAATTTTTATCAACATTACTGCATTATGTTATTCAAATCATAGGTGGCCTTATAAATATATACTATAAAGTATTGTTAACTTTTTGATTTTTTATCACTTTCTTTATTAATCAAATTAATAATTGTATATTTTATTAAAATTAGGTCTCTGAAAAATTCATATATTAAAAAATAAATATTCAAAAACTTAACCTATAAAATATTTTCAATGTCCTAATAACAAGGATGTCTCTATTTATTCTCCACAACTAATGTTATTATAACTATTAAAATATAGATTCTATCATTTAATGAAGATATTATTTACATAGCAAAAGAAGTTTAATTATAATAAATTGAAGATGCTTAAATTTATAAAATATATATATCATTTAAGCATTAATTAGTACATTAAATTAATAATAATTGATATATATTTATCATCTTATCTAAAATAATTAATAAGAGTTAAAATGAAATAATAAAGATTATAATTAATAAAAGACCTTCAATTTTTATAGAATGATTGATAAATAAATAACCTTGTTTAAATAATAGTTTAAATATAAGGTTTTAACTTAAATATTGATAAAATGAGATAAATTTATTTGTATATAATGTTATCATCAATTTTATTTCCTATTCTTATTAGAAATTATTTTGAGAGGAAAGTCAGTAAAGGGCTACTGAGCAGATGGTTTTAAAAAGGCTACCTCATAATTTTTGACACTTCTTTATTTTCTAACAAGTGTCTATTTAGGAGAAACAAAACCACTCATGAATATATCACTCTATTTTTAAGTTCTACATTTTTCATATTTTAATCTAACTGAATTGTTAAAATCTTATAAAAGGGGATTTCTACTAATTGGTTCTGAATATCTACCCATATCACTAAGCATAGGACCAGATTCAAATGTTCTCTATTAATTAGAACGCTAAGATTTGATCTCTTACACCTTTGATTTTGGTGTAGAGTAACTCTTAAGTGGCAATGGTTTCATCTTATATCTTTTGTATTATTCATAATATCTATTTACTGACTTTTATACATGGGAATTCTAATCCATTAGTTCTTTAATAAGTTTTTCATATCTTTAAGTAATGATTTCTACAGTACTTTCAACTGGAATGTATACTGATTATGTATTATCAACTGATTTATCCTTTAACTTTGTAATACTACTCACTAAACTTATAAAACCTATTTATTGATGAATATTAATTTTACCTCCTCCTTGCAAATACAAAACTTTAGTGTTATCATCAATTGATAATACATCATATACGTTTCTTTTACAATGTCTACTGACTGTATAGCAATACTTCCTATGTAAATCATTCAGATATCTTAATCCATAAACTCCTAGAATCAATGGCTCACTGTAAAATTTCTCATTTCTATTACATCGGTCTTCTCTTGATTTTAGATTGGTATATACTATTCATAATTTAGCAAATGTGAAAGCTCATGTTTTAATTTTTATTGCTGGTTTTTGATTATAAATTTCAAAATTCCCACTAAAGGTTCATGAATTATTTATTGAATTGTCGTTCTAATATTTGGTTAATTAACAATATCCTAACACAATTATTATCCTTATTTAGGAAAGTATATCTATTATATAAAAATTATAATTTACTTATGTCTTAACTAAATAGTATTGTGTTATCTTTGAGTATTTTTATATAATTTTTGGAAGAAAGAGCTTGCGATAACATTCACCTAAATGTTAATACAAATAATTTTCAAGGTTTTCTCTTTTCTATTCTCCTCGATAAATCTCTTCTGATAATTCCTTTAACGTTCCTAATCTATTACGACAATCTTCATGCATCTAGTGTCCAATTATTCTAATCATGAATATAACTTCCTCTCTAGCAGCCAATATACTTAAAAATAACTATAAAGGATTCTATTGCATTTTATTAATATGAATAATTATAACTTAGTTATACTCCATATTTTAGTGAGACAAATGTTTAAAACTTTCACTTCTAATAAAAACTAAATGAATGAATAAAAGAGTTGGATTTTCTATAAAATAATTTCTACATATTTATTGATAATGTCTTCAAATTAAAAATACAAAACATTTTTTTTAAATTCATAACTTCATCTGAAAAGAAAAAAAATTATATATTCATAAATTAAACATAATCTTTGAGACTACTTTAAAAATAATATTTTTATGTTGAGAAAATAAAATAGCTATTTTTATTATATTTTCTTCATTTATGTTATATCAATTAAAATTTATAACAAACTTTGTAAATATTACATAATTATTTTCAAAAAGGAAGACTTATAAAATTTTACAAAGAAGCTATATGTATTATATGTTAAAATAATGAATTTTTATTTAAATTTATTAATGAAAGTTAATTTCCATACTTTTGCTATAAAATATAATCATTTTCAGAATATTAAATATCTTAATATTTATGATACATTATAATAATGAAATCTTTCAATCTTTTCATTATGTATGTTAAATTTTAAAATTCTAGGAATTAGATTCTATTATATAAGTAATTGATTAACTAGATTAAAATTTTTATAAGATGAAAAATATACTAATATATAAGGATTTATATTATAATTCTATAATTTTAAGAAATTAAAGAATAATAATCATTATGGTACCAATAGATGATTATATATAAAACCAATAAAGGAGAATAGAATCATGATTTATTATTATATGCTAAAATATGAAATTTACATCTTTCATAAGCACTAAAAAAAACAATTCCAGAAGTTGAAATCTGCATTGTTCTGATATGAACAGCTCTAAAAAAACCAAAAATTCCTTCAGTTTCATAAATCATTTTTATGCATTAACTAAGTGAATCATAGAATTAGTTTCTTTATGTCATTAATTTGGCTTTGACAACATCACAAGGTGTAGTTAAAAATGCTGCTGTCCCTCCTGCCACAGCTCCATTTAGAGCATGATCGACTACTCCATCATTACCAAAATGTGTTTTCATTTTTTCATACAAAGGAAATTATATTGCACTAAAGGGAATTTCTCTCATTATAAAAGTAGGAAATCCAGCATAAAATCCTCGAAATCCTTAAATTTAATATATAGATCTTATAGTATTTCTTATATTTGGATCTAATCCAACTTACATTTAATTTTTAACTACTTCAAAAGGATTTCTGAAAAAATCAACAGCAAATTCACCTAATCCAGCTGCAACTATATGTGAACATCCATTTTTTTTTGCAGTATCATAAGTCGAAAAAAATAAAAAAGCAGATGGAAAAGAGACTATCAATTAGGCAACAAGCTTTTTATTATTTAAAATAATAATACTCCTCTATATTTATTAACTTTGGTTGCTGATTTATAATAATCAATTTTTATGTTGGATGCTTGAATTCTTGTTCTTATAGTTTCTATAGGAAAGAAAAGAAAGTCTGTAAAAATCCCAGCAGATCCTCCAGCTATTCCAGAAATCAATATTTAATCCATATAATAAATAAAATACTTAAATACATACAATTTTAATTCAAATATAATTGTTAAAAATAATCTATTTTTATAAAATCTTAGAACTTAGAACTTTTTCTTTAATCTATAAAATAATTATTTTTTGTTATTTTAATCATCAATTCTTTAATATTGAGAATAACAACAATTAATAATTCAATTTATTAATATATCATAATGATAAAATTTTAAGTTTTTGTTTATATTGTTAAATAATCCTTTTAGATCTATTTCATCATAATAAAGTAAATTTCTTTATAAATAATTGTCATCTATAATTTGAGCTTTGTAACGTATCCTTAATAATGTTAATAGTTTCATACTATTAATATAATAAATATCTATTTCCTAAAAATTATTATGTAACATTGTAATTACATAATAATTTCAATTTTATTCTTGTAAATTAATTTAAATAATATTTTGTGAGATGTTCTTATATTTTATTATAAAAATTTACAAATTTAATAGCTGTACTTTAGTTTAAGGAGAATCCTATAGAATTATAATTCAAAAACTATAAATAATATATAAGAGATGTTTAAAATATTATATTTTTTTTTTTAAATTATAAATATTTTAATAAATTATATTCAATTTCTTAATAGATTTTAAATTTTTATACTTAAAAACATAAATATTCAGTTTGATTTACTTTTTACCATTTCATATTTATTTACTAATTCTTTCCATTATTCAGTCTAAATGATTAAAAAATAAACTTACATATTTTTAGCATAGTTTTTATTTTGCATATAGAAATCCACCAAAATTTGCAATTACTTTAAGTAAATCAGCTCTAAATTATTCATCCATAGCCTTAGAAAATTATTGTATCATATAAACTAATTGATCCTAAAGTTATTAAATTTATTAAGTTTCTGGGACATAAAGAAAGCTTTTTAAATAATCAAAGTCTGATGATAATTTATCGAATTCAGATTGATCAAATTTGTTTGATTAAATTATTCTTTAAACTACTACTTTCAAATCAGTATTTCTAATTAGATCTTCTTTTTTTTTATTTAAAATATTATAATCTTAGACAAACTTATTTCTAATTTCTTCAACATTTTAAAATAATCTAATATAAGATTTATGACTTCCTAATAATTTTGCAAATGTTAATTTTAAATGATTATCAAGTAAAGCACAAGTATCATCTATCTCATAGATTATTTAATTAAAATGATCATTAACCAAATTTATGTATTCAATAAGGCCACTTTATTCAGGATATTTTGGTAAANTATTGTTAAATAATCCTTTTAGATCTATTTCATCATAATAAAGTAAATTTCTTTATAAATAATTGTCATCTATAATTTGAGCTTTGTAACGTATCCTTAATAATGTTAATAGTTTCATACTATTAATATAATAAATATCTATTTCCTAAAAATTATTATGTAACATTGTAATTACATAATAATTTCAATTTTATTCTTGTAAATTAATTTAAATAATATTTTGTGAGATGTTCTTATATTTTATTATAAAAATTTACAAATTTAATAGCTGTACTTTAGTTTAAGGAGAATCCTATAGAATTATAATTCAAAAACTATAAATAATATATAAGAGATGTTTAAAATATTATATTTTTTTTTTTAAATTATAAATATTTTAATAAATTATATTCAATTTCTTAATAGATTTTAAATTTTTATACTTAAAAACATAAATATTCAGTTTGATTTACTTTTTACCATTTCATATTTATTTACTAATTCTTTCCATTATTCAGTCTAAATGATTAAAAAATAAACTTACATATTTTTAGCATAGTTTTTATTTTGCATATAGAAATCCACCAAAATTTGCAATTACTTTAAGTAAATCAGCTCTAAATTATTCATCCATAGCCTTAGAAAATTATTGTATCATATAAACTAATTGATCCTAAAGTTATTAAATTTATTAAGTTTCTGGGACATAAAGAAAGCTTTTTAAATAATCAAAGTCTGATGATAATTTATCGAATTCAGATTGATCAAATTTGTTTGATTAAATTATTCTTTAAACTACTACTTTCAAATCAGTATTTCTAATTAGATCTTCTTTTTTTTTATTTAAAATATTATAATCTTAGACAAACTTATTTCTAATTTCTTCAACATTTTAAAATAATCTAATATAAGATTTATGACTTCCTAATAATTTTGCAAATGTTAATTTTAAATGATTATCAAGTAAAGCACAAGTATCATCTATCTCATAGATTATTTAATTAAAATGATCATTAACCAAATTTATGTATTCAATAAGGCCACTTTATTCAGGATATTTTGGTAAAGTATTAGTGAGTTCAAATAAACATTAAGCAGCATTTCCTAAAAATTCTTAAGATTTTTTTTAGTAAGCAAAGAATTCATTCATGTTACATATTACTTAGTTAAGGAGATTAATAGCATTTTTTGGATAAGATGATTAATCTAAAAATTTTTAGTATCCATCAAAAGTGAGAGAAACCTCAATTTCACCAGTTTTAGTCTACTTTGATTGTAAATTATATCTCTTTTCTCTTTATAATTCATCTTTAAGTTTTTTTTATAGTAATTATTCATTAACTTCATTAACAAACCACAAACAAGGCTAAATTGTTCTAATGATTGGTATTTTATTATAAATTGAGAGTAAATTCTAAATTTTATAAAAAATTACTTTTATTGAAAGAATAATCTCTTCCATTATTGGAAGCATTTCCTCCAATTTATATAATCCTCCATAAGGAAATATAGGAATCTGATATAATAAATGTATTTTTTACAATTTTTTCAGGAAAATATCTACAAATAATATTTCTTAATTCAGCAAATTATTATAATGTTCTTGAAACTTTCCATTACATTGGAAATGTTTATATTTAAAATACGACGATGCTTTTTTATGTAATAAAAGACCATAATCCTGAATCTCTTACTTCTTAAGGACTAAATTATCATTTTTGTTTACTGAGAAATTTAAAATTATAATTCAACATCATTTTCTATTAGATACTTTTCTTATTAACATTTTATAACTTTTTCATAGGGATCTAAAGAGATATTATCCTTAATAGTTTAAGAATTATACAATATAGATTTTATGTTAATTTGAAACAATTACTGAGTATAATTTTTCATCAATGTTTTAGAATCCATAAATTTCCTTTTCTTAATTTTAATCTAATTTTGAATTCTTCTTTAATGATTAAAAGTTGTCAATACATTTTTTTAAATCATCATAATTCCATGATGATAGATCATCTATTGTCAAATTATTAATTATACCTTTATCTGGTACTTAAGTTTACACATATTATTCAAATTCTTCTTGACTATATTGTTTATTTATGATTTCTTCAATTAAAAGTTTCTGTAATATTTCAATATTGTTCATTATTAATAAGAGTTAATTAATTAATAGTAAATGGAGGTACTTATTATTAGTTGATGTATGAAGTATAGATTGAACAAGAGTAGACAGTAGTAATACGAGAAACCAATAAAAAAAGAGAACAATTTCGTCATGATTTGAGAAGGAAAGCTTTAAATGAATAATTTAAGGTAAAATTAAATTTCTAAATGAATAGAGAAAGAGAACGCCTGCAAAAGAATTAGATATGTTAAATATACTTAAAAAACTTAAAAATAATGAGTCAGAACTAGTATTAATAAAATTTATTGTTTTTAGTGCAGAGTATTAAGATTAATGCAAGATGCAAAATTAGAAGAAAATGAAGAAATAGGACTATTTTTAAGAGACTTATCACAAGAGAATTTGAATTAGGAAATTAGATAATTGTGTAAATCATTGATAAATATTAAATTCTGTTGCATTCCTTAATATGCAATCAAAAATAGACAATAACATTGAATGATTTTGTAAATATAGCACTTATAAATATTATAATTTGAATCCCTGATGATTTTGATTTGACTAATGACTTAAAAAACTTATTAATCCAATAAGTCAAACTAAATAAATAGAAAAAAAAAATAGAACACACCATTTTGAGAGTTTAATTATTATCAAATTTATCAAAGGAGTAAATTTGTATTTAAAATATGTCTTCATTTTATCATTCTTATCAAACCCACAGAACTATATTTAAGAATACTTTATCAAAAATAAAATTTAATCATCAAAAATAATTTTTAGAACCTAATCATAAGATTGTAATGTATTTATTAGTTTTTAATTGGCATTTTTAAAATGATAATTAATAACTAATTAAATCTATTAAAAGAATAATAATCTAAATTATCCAATATTAGAATACATTAATTAATTAATATATATATATATAATATAGATATTTATTTTTTATATTAAAATTCATTTAACTTTTTTGTTTTTTTTATCTCCTTGAATATTTTATAATTCTCTGTATTATAAGATAATTTATTAAAGTGGAACAACAATCCAAATTTGATTTACTATTACAAACACAAACCAAAAATAAAATATATTAGATTATGTAAATGAGAAACAACTACCATGACATACATCTACAAAATCTCTTAGCCATGCATTCACAATAAACATTACAGTTCCCATAATTTATACAGCTGAAACAAAAGTAATTAATATTGCTGTAAATACAGGATTTGCTTTAGATCTTTATCTAATTGCAATCCATATACACATTGGACCCATAAATACTAATTCTATACCTGTAACAACAATTACTGTTAATTCCTTTTCTGGATATCTGGCATCTAATTAACTGTACTAATTGAAGAGCCTTACAATACTAATACTAAATACCATTTATTCATTTGACATAAACCGACCAATCCATCAAGATAAATATGAATCCATATTCCATTAATGATAAACCAATAATATGAAATGCTAGGTCCTTTGACAAAAAATAGTGAAACTACAATAAATGCCAAGATAATAAGATTCTCTTAATCTAAAATCATTAATTAAATTTTTAATTGTATAATATTATTAATTTGGCATCTAAATAATATTCTTAATAAATAAATGACGAGCTAATAAGTTTATTATAGAATTAATTTATTTTAAGAATTTAAATGTATCTAAGACTTAATATTATTTAAACATTAAATTTTGAAATATATAAATATATCATTTATTATTATTCAAGCCCAAGAATAATCATACTTTTACTATAATTCAAAATCAAATCTCTTAATCAATTATTTTTTATCCTTTCTTGTTTACATCTATATTTGTTGATTTGATATCACAGTAATTTTATTTACAGACATTTACTAAAGGAATTTAGATTCAGAAATTTATTATGTAATAGCATATTATTTTAAAATTCTCTCCTTTTAAACTATTTATATTTAATATGATTTACTCTTATATGAAGTTTCTGATTAACATGCATCACAAAATGGTATTTTATATATACCTTTTAAGACACAATAATCATGATAAACATGTGAACATGTAAATGCTATAGCAAGTTCAGAATCAACTATATGATTCTAGCATCTTTAACAAATATGATTACATATCCATGCACTTTACTAAAACTTAATGAATTATTACATTAATTTCTTTTAATTATTATATAATTTGATATTTCTCATTACTCTATATTAATTAAGTTTCTTTTAATGTTCTTAAATCATCATGAAATTTACTTACAACTCTATAAATAGTCTATCTAAAAACAGATACTGGTAATTCAGGATATTTTAAATTTAATAGATCAAATATTTATGACACTTATACTCTATCACTGATTCTTGCTAAATATTCACTTAAATAAAGACTCAATAAATCTTTTACACTTTAAGGAATATTTGGCATAATAAATGTTCTTATTTTATTTTGATTTATATATAAATCTACAAAATAAATCCATAGATTTTAATCGTCATAATAATTAGATTAATTTTATTTTAAATCTTCTAATATTATTTAAATAATGTTTTCTAATTTATATTTTAATTTATCTGTGCAATTATTATCTAGATTCTATTTTTTCATTAGTAAAACTATAGATTTTTTGATTTTCTTTAAAAATGAATTAATATATATATCTAATGCTTATTTTATAGATCCACTAATTTAATGAATATAAGCAGCAGCCTAATTAATTTTATATTCTTTTGTCAATTTTAATGCTTCATCCAATGGAAAATTCATACTTTTAATTGCCTATAATACTTATTTAGGTTAAATTTCACATAATCTTTTAAGATATAATATTTTAGTTTAATCATTAATTAAAAATACTTTTTAAGATTAAAATAAATAGGATATGAAATTAGCAAAGTATTTTTGATCTTCAAAATCTTTTTAAAAACAACTTAAAATCTAAAAGTGTTTCTAATGAAAACATTTTTCAATTAATTTATATGTTTATTATTCATCTATTGTAATTAAATATTTCAAAATTTCTAAAATAAATTCATCATTTTATTAATTCAAAATCATTGGTCTTAATTCAACCAATTATTAAATCCATGGAAATATTAATTCTCTGATTTAACTATTTACAATCTTAAAAGCTTCAAAAGCCTTTTTATATTGTTATTATTAAGAATATATAAAAACTAAAGCTAAAGAAAACTTTTTGACAATTGATGCTGAAAACTCTAAATCTGATAATTATTGTTCTGTAAGTTTTTTTGACATCATTACACGAATGATAAATTGATTAATTAATAGTATATCATTATTTAATGATAATAGAAATTCATAATTTCTACATAGTGTATATATTGTGTCATAGGCTACTTAAGAAGAAAAAGGAAATTTTTATATTAATAATTTGGCTGTTAAGTATGATATCCAAATATCTGATTTTATAAACTCTAATTTTCTAACTGATAAATACATTTTTCTATGAACTGAACAACGTACATTATTTTAATCAAAATCAAATAGAGTAGTTTCAGTCTCATCAACTTGTAATTTTAGTATAATCTCTGCTCTACTATTCTCTATGCAAGCTTATGCTTTACCAATATAAAATTAATATATTATATCAATAGCTCCCTTTGGATCTTAATTAATAAATTTTAATAAATTTTCACTCACAAATAAAAACTATATTAAATTACGTAAAGCAATAGTAAATTATTCATCTGTTAAATTCTTTCCTTCAAATGATTTGCCTTCTAAAATACTCAATATATATTTTTAGCATTATTCTTATAATTAATTTCCTCCAAACAATTTTACAAGTGGAGTTACAAAATCTTAAGACATTTAACAAACATAGATCATTTCATTATACATTTTCATTTATTCACAACAAGTAATTAATATAGCACTTGATATTCTATTGAAATCAGTTGAACAAACTAAATGATGTATCATATCAATATTTAATTAGTTTTAATACATTTTACATAATTCGTATAATTATTCATCAGGTATATAAGGAATTTAATGCTATCTAAGTAAACTTTCTATTGTATTAACAAAGACATCTTTATATCCTAAATCAGATGTGACATCACTTATAATAGTAAATAAATAATGCTCTAATTTAGCTTTGATTAAAAACTTAACAATTTCAGATAAGGATTAAACTGTTAAGTTTTTTTATTTACCTAAAAATAAACATTCAGTAAATGCTAATTTTTATAGTAATTCTGATAATTAATCAGAAGGAGCAATTTTAATCATTAATAAATCGCCATTCATAATTCTAATTGCATTTTACATAGCTTTTCTAAATTCTAATTGATCTGCTTAATTTTATAATAATGTTCTACAATCTTATAGAGCCATGAATTCAAAAGTGTCTTCTGTTAATCCTAACATAAAATTACCATTGAATTTCTTGATTTTCAAAGATTAATTGAAATAATTTAATTTATTTTCACATTTCTTAAATTCTGTTGAATGAACTAATGCAAAACCATCATCAAATAAAACAACTATTATATCAGAATCACAACATTCCAAACCATTTAATTTTTTTTCAGTTTCTAATTACTTGACTCCAATTTCATCAACTGTTATTGAACCTCCAAAAATTTCATACATAAATAAATGAATAACATTGCCATAACTACAACAAAATGAATTCCTAATTTAACTATTGTTATCTAAACAAGTTGATAGACATGCCCAACCAGCATCTAATTGATCATTCTATAAATTATATAATTAAATAGGTGTTTCTTTATTTATTTTGTTTACTCTAATAATTGAAATTCGATTATGCATTTGATATAATAAAAATGCATAATTTTCATTACTTCCTTACATAATTAATAACTCATAAAGGATGCTGAATCCTGAATCAATAAAGTTTTTTCCTTTTTAATCTATAATTGATCCATTTTATGTTAACTCTTATATTGAAAATTATACATTTCTTTTATTAAAGAGCTTAAAAATATTGCACTTGATTTTTGAAGAATTGCCTTTTAGATCAGCTATTACAATTTCATACCAATCTAATTGTTTTTAAGATTCATTTATAACTTTTAGAAATGAAAATGGAACCTACACTTATCCTAATTTATAGGTACCAATTATTGAAAAATCTTTTGAGATTTCAATTAACAAAATTTATTCTAGTTATCCAATAAACAAACAATCTTCTGTTTCTTAAATTACAAGTGAATTTTATATTTCTATCTTTTAAATCAATTTAAATTCAGTTCTAATATCAAAAACTTAGATTCTTTTCTGACTGCCTAAATATACAAACCTATTTGAACAATGCATTATGTTTATATATTCTTGAAATGGTAACTTAACAGATTATTTAACTATTATAGGATTAACAAATTCATTTTCAAATTGATATTCTTATAGTGGATGTTTAATAATTTCTTGATATGTTATTTATGGATGAGAATTCAAGAACTAATGAAATTATTCAAAGTTTTTGTATTCTACAAATTTAAACATAAAATTTTTAATAATAAAATATTATATTACAAAATCAAATGGATTTTTATGCTCAAAACTATAATATCAATAAAAAAATAAGTATGTTTATCCCTTAATTTAAGAAGTTGTATTTTATTAATCATTAAATTTAGTTATTTATTTTCTATTAAATCATTTAATTATTATAAGGAGATTAGATGTTTGATTGAATCAAATAATCACTTTATTATTATTTAAATTATATAATAAGTCTAGATGTAGTTAAGGGAAGTAGATGAAAATGATGAAGAAGAAACATGTTTCCTCTGTTTTACTATAAGTAAAAAGAATAAACAAAACAGAAGCTAATAAACATAATCAAATGACAAAATGAGTATGCAGCATTTATCCTATGATCATCATATTACTGAATCTGGAAGATAAATAATGCAAGATTCAAATTTCAAAGTGGCTGAGTCAGTTTTGAAGATCTAGGACTATCCAAAAAATAAATTATTTTTCTTAAGGAATAAGGCTAGTAAAGAAGAAATAATAGCTAAAATTACTGAAAAGAGATTTAATATTAATGATTTGTCTGGCTCTACTATAGGATTAGATTCTCCAAAATCAGCTATATAGGAACAATTATCATAAATAGAATACACTCCTGATCATGTTGCCAGATATATAGCAAAAAGACTTAAGGAATTTGTTATTATCACTGATTTAGGTTGTGGAGTTGGAGGTAATACAGTTTAACTGGCTAAAGAATGTTAATATGTAATAGGAGTAGAAATAGAAAGTAAATTGATTGAATTGGCATAGAAGAATTGTTAACACAAAAGAGTGAATGTAGATTTAATTAATGCAGATATTTTTACATTGAATAACTTAAAAACTGATGTAATTTTTGTTAATCCAAGCTTAAATACAGATGTTAATCAACATAAAGATTTATTAAAAAGCTGCAATCCTGATATAAACAAAATATTATTGAATCATTAAAAAAATACAAAAAACTTTGTTTTTCAATTACCTCCATAAATTGATATTTCTTAATTGCCTTTATTGCTAAATATTAATTCTTAATTTGCTTATTTTAGATAAAATTGTCCTTCGTTTTGTAGTATAGAAATTGAATAGATCATTCTAAATCAATAAATTGAATATATAGTAGTATATTGTGGAGATGTGTCTGATGTATTTATTGATAATCTAAACTTATTTAGATTAAATTATCAGAGATAATTAAATTTCTAACTAAATAGTTTCGTAAAGTTTAACGTGATTTCAATTCAATCCAGAAATAACATTTATTTTGGTTATTTGAATTGATAAATAGAAATATTGGAATTCAAAATCTTACTTATAGAACAGTAGAAGCAATAAAGTAAAAAAAATCAATAGAAAATTTTTGTAAATTTATTTAACAATAATTTTAAATTCATTAAGATCTTTACTAAACCTATATTAATCAGTAAGTTTTTATATAACTTAAGCGATAAAAATGAAAAAGATGATATATATTCTGCATCAAAATAGGATATTGATCAATAAGATATAGATAATATGAGTCCTAGTAATTTCTCATATAAATAAATTGAAGTTGCTCATATGAACTATTCCTATACTAATGAAAATGTGTTTGAAGTATTTGAGGATGAAGAAATTGAAGGTCATAATTCATTTGTAATGAATGTTAAACATTGAGATATTTCATATTAATTGACTTTAAAATTAATTTAAATAAATTTATTTGAGTTTTTTTGATTTCTATCAATAAGGAACAGAATTGATATTATAATTATACTTTTAATTTAAAGAGATTTATTAATAATTCTAAATTATCAATCGCATATAGTTATATCACGTATTGTAAATTTTCCTTCTTCATTACTTTTAGCTATTCTTAAATATTTTTCAATTTTCTATAAACTTATAAAATAATATCATACTTCTCTACAAATATAACAATTTTTCTATTTTTCTAACCATTTTATAATGCATTCTTCACATATACCTCCATGTTAACATGGCAATAATACTATATTAGGTTCTACATCAAAACATATTTGACATTTTTCTTCATTTTATTTAATTAATTCTAATTCTCTATCTGCTGCAGGAGATTATAATTGTTCAGTCTTTCCAACAAATTCAAATGCCTTCAATTTATTTTTCTAATGAATCACAGATTAATTGCTATGATTAACAGTTATAATGTTCTTCTAATAATTTATAATGTCAAAATATGTAGATGATATTTAGATGATTTTATATGGAATATTCACTTTTATGGATTGTTTCTAAACTGTCTGATTTTTTTAATTAGGTGTATTTTATCTCATTTCAATGATATACAATCTCTAAATACTTGAGATTATTACTTAATATAGGAAAAAAATAATATTAATCCTAAAAGTATTAGACCATTATAAACAATTAATACTAAAAATAGAGTGGATACTGTATTTGAATAATTGGTTTCTTCATGCCAACTAACTTCTAAAAGAAACCACATTGGAAATATTGAAAATGAATTCAAATAAAGTGATAACCATAAGCCTCCTATCACTGTTTTTATAATGTAAATGTACATTGGGTTTTTGTTGTTCTATTTTTAATATAATCTACTATAGTTTCTCCAATTGAAAGTAAAAACACAAAATACACAATGAATGATAATATTAACAATCCCCAAGAGATACTAAATACACTATACCAATTCCAATTTATAGTTTTTGTTTACTTCATTGTTATTAGCATTATTTATAATACAAATAATAATTTGATTCCTTAAATAATCTCTTATTTATATAAATGTTTACAAAAGAGTATTATGTTATTTATTGATTATTAGATATTTTACGAATATTCTATACGAGTACTCTAATGAAATAATAAGCCATGATTGCATAACTAAAATATTAAATTTGAAATTGTTGATAATATTTAACATTAATCAAAAGTAATAATTTTAGTACACTTCCAATCAAAGTATCCATAATTAAATTATGTACAATAGCTTTATATCTACATTAATTTAAATGTACTTTATTTTTAATAATCCTAAAGCAGTCAACATAATTATATCAAGTAACCAATATTATGACATTAAATATAAAGGATCAAATTTCCAAATGAGATAAGAAAGATATATAATCTGATAAGACTACGATATTTGTTACAGAAACATCAATTACCATATTTTTATATTAACATTGTTTGAGTTTTCATCTCTCATCTTTTGTATAATTCTTTTTTATTATTTTTAAATATATATTTTTTTATTAATCTTATATCAACTAAGTTAATTCATTATCATTCAATTATTATATCTATTGAATAATTGTTATTATTTCAATGATCTAATAAATTATTATTTTTTTAGAATAATACAATCATATTTAAAATTATTAATTGTATTATTGATAAATCCTCATATTTTTTTATGTAATTATTTTCTATTTATACAATATCAAAATAATTTGGCTTCATTTCTTAATTTCTATAGGAGCACATCTACATTTTCTACAATAGCTCCTCCTTTTCTAATAGCAGGAGCTTCAGTTTTTGTAATTTAAATGGAATTATGTAATTTCCCTAATTTTTCAAGTGGAATAGTTTCTAATGGTTTTGATTTTGCCTTAATTGAAATATTTAAATTATTTATTTTACTTTCATAATATTTGGAACACTAGCAAATCTTGGTTAATTAAGTCTTAAATCACATGTGATTACTCCTGGCAATTTAAATTTAACAGTCTATAGTCCTCCATCAATTTCTCTAATAACCTAAGCAATTCCATCTGAAATTTATATATTTGAAGCAAATGTTGCTTATGGCCAATCCAATAATCCAGCTAACATTTATCCAGTTTAATTAAAATCATCATCAATAGATTATTTACCCATTAAAACAAGATTATAACTATAATTAATAAGTGATTTACTTATCTCTTTCTACTATTTTAGCTAAGATATTAGCAATATCTAATGGTTATACTGCTTAATCAATTCTTGCATCAGTTGTGACATGAATAGCTTTATCAGCACCCAAAGCTAGAGCATGTCTTAAACTTTCTGCTCCTTATTTAGGTCCAATAGTTATAGCAACAATTTCAGCTATCAATTTCTTTTCTTTCAATCTCACAGCTTCTTCAACTGCTATTTCACAGAAGGGATTTATTGTCATCTTAACACCTTGAAGATCTATACCATCAGGTTTTACTCTAACTTTAATTCCTGAATCTACTACTCTTTTGACAGCCACCAAAACTTTCATTTAATTATAAATTTATATATAAATTATACAATTATTTCAATATATGATAAAATACAATAATAAAGTATATGAATAAAATACATTGATGTTATATAATTATATGATATGTAATCATACTCATTCTTAATCATCCCAATGTCCTCTATCTGGCATTTTAGGTCCTCCTGCAGGTTTAGCTATGATAATCTAATTATAATAAAATATATTTACTTAATCTACTCTCAAAATAGTAACAGCAGCATCAGTTGCTAATTTAACAGCCCACCATTTTGTTTTAAGATGATCAAATACTTTCAAATCTTAAGAAGGGGATAATGTAGCTGTCTATTAAAGTATTATTATCAAAATTTACTGAAATATTAAGTGAATGAGGTTTCTCAGAGTTTAATTTATGCATTTAAGCCATCATTTCATTTTAAGCAAGACCAGCATTTTCAATTAAAATTCTTGGGATAATTTCAAATGCTTAAGCATATTATCTATAAGCATATTAATCAATTGATTTAATTTTATTTGCTTCTTATTCTAATAATTATGCTAATTTCTAAATTAATATTAATATATAATCATACAATTTCTGTTGCACCACCACCATAAACAAATCTTGGATCTTTAATAAGTGATCTATAACAACTAACACCATCATCAATAGCTCTTTCAATATCATCTAATAAATTTTATGTTGCTCCTCTTAATACAATAGTTGCTAATTTACAAGTATCACTTTATTTTTCAAAAATAGTCACTTTTTGACTACCAATTTCTTATACATGTACTCTATCACATGTTCCTAATTCATCTGGCATAGGAGCAGATAATCTAGATAATGCACTAGCTCCTATAGCTTTACATATTCTCTTTAATTCAAATTTAGATTAGACTTTAACAATCATCATTTTATATTTTTCAACAAAATGTAACACTAATTCTGAAATGCTACCTCCTGCAACAATAAGATTGACACCTGCATCAGCTATACTTTTAACAATCTTTTCAGCAAGTTCTTCTTCACTTTTAGTATAATTCATTAATTCTGTTGCATTTTTAATCAACACAGTTCCTTTAGTTTCTTAAGATTATGGATCTAATGGAGCATTAAAAACACAAATCTTAGGATTTTCTAATCTATTAATTTATCCTTCAACATTTCTAGTAACAATAAGTCCTGATAAGACATGACTATCTAATACTGATCCACCTAAGATTTTGGTAACTCTGACATATTCAGAATCAAAATTAGTTTTTTCTTTTGGTAAACATCTTATGCATGCTTTAGTTACTAAACCAGCAAT